ATCCAATTTTGCCATGCTGTAGATTGCACAATTCCAATTATTTTTAGATAGCTGTGTCTGATATTGATTGCCAAGTATAGTCTATGCACACAATACTGATTTAAAAGGATAAAGCCTGATTAGATCTGAGAAATATTTATCTTTCCACTTATTAGCTTGCCTTTTCTAACCAAATGACATGCATTTAGATCTGCATGTGAAGTATATCAATACAATAGGCATTTATAAAAAGTCATTCTCTACCTGCTGTTGGACAAGGAACCATCTTATCAGAATTAGCTTCATCCTATCTACTGTATTGTCAAACCAGCACAAAAAGGTATGGTTTGAAGACATATCTAGTGAATGTCACCTCTGCTCTGTCGGACAACCAGAAATTCAGTTTTGTAGTCTCCCAGTTAAACTCCACTTTAATGTCCACAATTTTTTTGTACAAATGAAGAACCAGTACAACTGACATACGCCAGTGGGGAATTTTGACCCTTGAGATGCTGTTGCACTACAACTCCCATCATCCTTGATCATTGACCATGCTGGCCCTGCCACACACTGTTCTGTCGTTTATTTATTGGTAATTTGTGGCTCTTTGTAAATGTAAAGCATATCTGAACAAGAAAGGAGAACATCACTGGCCTTCCTTCCGAGAGTCGCAGATGTAGAGGTTAAGACCCTGCCAGACTGGTGACTCTTGACAAGGGAAAATATTGGCAACTGGTTGAATGGGCTGCAGCCTTCAATGTTACATGTCTATCTACCTTTTGGTGGTCCTTCTAAGGGCTAACATTGTATAGAAAATATTATCCTTTGGCTTTCCTAATGGGAAGGATATGAAATTGTATAATTTGGTGCAGCCATCTTATTAAGATGAAACCAAGTGCAGTGGCTGAAAAGGGGTTATTTTGTAAAATATATATATATATTTATTTGTTTGTTTTAAAAGATACAAACACTTTATTCTATACTCCAGCATCTTTTGCATCTAACAGTATGTGTATATTATACACATTCTTAAAAGGGAGCCATTACTCTGAGAGGTTGCAGGCTGTAACACTTTCGAATTAAAATCTCTCAAATTTTCACTTCTTTTAAAGTTTTTTTCAAGATATCCAGACCCTCCAAGGGTCCCTATTTTCCAGGGACAGCCCCAGATTTACAGAAGCCATCCCCGGTTTCTGATGTGATCCTGGAATGTCTCGCTTTTCCTTAGGACGTCCCTATTTTCATATTGCAGGGTATGGAGTATGCAACCCTCAAATCATAGAGATAAGTAACTATACAACCTTTAGAAGACATCTGACGGCAGTCCTATATAGAGAAGTTTGCTGATGTTTAATGTTCTACTATGTTTTTATATGTGTTGAAAGCTGCTCAGAGTGGCTGGGGCAACCCAGTCAGATGGGTGGGGTATAATGATAATGATAATAATAATAATAGAATAGGACGTCTATCTTTTCATTGGATAGGTGTTATATGGTATGGATATCAATACTAAACTATATTTTTGGTGTTCCAGAGTCTCTGATCCATAAATCAGGCAATTTATAAATCAGCATTATTGGGCTATTGGAATGCTGCCTTCTAAATGCTAAATGCTAAGGGTTGTTCCGCCTGGCCTTTGGCTTGGAATCAACTTGATCCCCTTCCCCTCTTTCCTCTTTTTCTTTTCTCCTTCTGTGATGGAACTCCTATTTGGGGACTTCCCTGGCTTTTTTTCTGGCCCACGTAGGACCAGTCTGGATAGTTGGCCTTGGTGAAGCTTTGACGTTTTCATCCCCAAAAAGTTTTTGATTTGAGCGTCTACTGAAATGAGGCTGCATTTTAATGTTGTATTTTAATCTTGTTTTAAAGTTGTATTTCAATCAATTGTTTTCATACCCTGAGCCCGGTCTGGTCTGGGGAGGGTGGGGTATAAATATATTATTATTCTTCTTATTATTATTCTTATTATTATTCTCGGTATTGGTGCCTTCCCTGTGGAACGCCCTCCCACCAGATGTCAAAGAGAATAACAACTACCAGACTTTCAGAAGACATCTGAAGGCAGCCCTGTTTAGGGAAGTTTTTAATGTTTGATGTATTATAGTATTTTAATATTTTTTTGGAAGCCGCCCAGAGTGGCTGGGGAAGCCCAGCCAGATGGGCGGGGTATTAATAATAAATTATTATTATTATTATTATTATTATTATTATTATTATTATTATCTCAGTCCTAAGCTTGGTATTGGCCTGTCCAGCAACAGTTTCCTGGTGCGTGTAGATCACACACATGTACTCATATTGAAACAGATATGTGCATGGTTGTGATGTTTGATCATCCACAAATGGCAATCAAGCTTTTTCCTGCATGGACATGTTTCCTCTGTGTGGGGGAAAGGAAAAAAAAACCAACCCCAAACCGAGAAGAACTATAGCATATGGCAGCCCTTAGTGCTGCAGATAAGGTCAGCCTTCCTAATTCCTTCATTCATCAGAATGGCTTTGTAATTACTATTTCTTCCACCTCCTCCCTTTTCTACCTCTCGAGATGTCTCTGACAAGGCAGATTAATAAGTTTGAAAGAGAGCACCTCGCTTTATTCTTCTTGCCACAAGGATTCACGAGGGCTTTATTTCATTACCTCAGAATGACCATCCCTCTGTGCTGTTGTTCAGGGCTATTAATCAATGCCTTAATGAGGGATGCAAAGGATTTGCTTAATATTTCACCCTCACCCATTTCACTTCAAGGACATATTCAGGATGAGATTCTCCCCCCCCCCTTTTTTTTTTTAAACCTTCTCCTACAAAATTCCTTTAAATTAGTAAATCATCTTATGAGACATTGCTGGAAGCAAAGAAGACGGACATTCTCTCTCTAGCTCAATTCTGCTCACCTCACATTCACAAACCAAGCATGTATTTCATGCTGGAGAGAAAATAGAAGTGTTTTCAATGACTGCTCAATTTTGCCAGCAATTTGGACCTACTCTGAATGGGAAAGGGATGTTGCCTTTCAGACATAGCTAGAAAGGCCCCCGCAATTTCCTGTTAGCAGAGGACTTCCTAAAAGCGTTTGGAAGAGGAAGGTATTAACATGGCTTCTGTTCATAAACAATCCTGCTCATTTCCTCTTCTTTTTTTATAGAATCCTTCAATAACAAAAGCAAGTCCATGCGGAGTTTGCCATTTTTTAAAAAATAAAATAAAAATAGAAGCTGAACATGTGAAAGGTACTTCAGCATTATCCATGTCTAAGGACTTTCATGATCACAATGGCTAGTTTCAAGGGTTTCCAAGCTTCACTCAGGTGGTCCATGGCCGATCTAATTGTGAACTATTTTTTATTGCGATATATATATATATATATATATATATATATATATATATATATATGGATAAAGGTAAAGGACCCCTGACCCTTAGATCCAGTCGTGACCGACTCTGGGGTTGCGGCCCTCATCTCACTTTATTGGCCGAGGGAGCCGGCATACAGCTTCCGGGTCATGTGGCCAGCATGACTAAGACGCTTCTGGCGAACCAGAGCAGTGCACGGAAATGCCGTTTACCTTCCCGTCGGAGCAGTACCTATTTATCTACTTGCACTTTGATGTGCTTTCGAACTGCTAGGTTGGCATGAGCAGGGACCGAGCAACGGGAGCTCACCCCGTCACAGGGATTCAAACCGCTGACCTTCTGATCAGCAAGCCCTAGGCTCTGTGGTTTAACCCACAGCGCCACCTGCGTATATGTATATATATTGTATTTTATTGCCTTATGGTTTGAATTCTGTGGAATTGTATGACAATATAAGAAAAGTGCAGTTCAAATTCATAAAGCATGTAGCACAGCACATTGCAATTGCTACAACTGGCAGAAAAACCATTGAGTGCTCCCCCAAGGCCATCAACCATTTTCAAGTACTGAACACAGTCCCAGGTTGGTCAAGATCATGGGACCCAATTCAGGGATATTTCGCAGCTGAGCAGGAATCTAATATTGACACTGCCTTCTCCAGCTGGCAATAATGTACCCATCAACAACTGGAACGTGGAAATGAATTATAGTGATGGGGAAGAAACTTGATTCATTTAAAGGAATACTTGCCTAGCTTGTACTTCCTGAAACGATACGCGGACAGCAACACAGCTACACTTTCCTTAATTCTGAATGCAGTTCACGAGCCAACCAATGTGTACAAAAATCCTTATGCTAGGGTAAATGGATATTGGTGAAAATTACGTACAAACATGCATCACGAAATGTGTAAATGCATAAAACCGTGTATATAAGGAGAAATCAGTCCCCAAATGCTGATGAATTTGGCTTCAATCATAGACTCATCGACATAGCTGTCAACGTTTCCCTTTTTTAAAGGGAAATTCCCTTATTCCGAATAGGATTCCTCACAAGAAAAGTGAAAAGTTGACAGCTATGTTCATCGAGTTGGAAGGGACCCTGAGGATCATCTAGTCCAGGCAGGTCCAACATTGCGGAGCTTGTGATCTACAATTCAGTTTCAAAAACTGGCAGTGATCTACCACCCTCCAAAGTCATTAAACAAAGAAAGAAAGAAAGAAAGAAAGAAAGAAAGAAAGAAAGAAAGAAACGGATCTTTATTTCACAGTCAGAGTGTGCAGGGCTTCTCCCCGCCCCCCCAGCAGCCCATTCTCTCTGAGAATACAGAGTGTGTAGGACTTCTCTCTCTCTCTCTCTCTCTCTCTCTCTCTCTCTCACACACACACACACACACACACACAGCATACTCACTCCACCTCTGGCTTTCTCCTACTGTTGTTTTAAACCACAGCTGACTTCGTGTCAGCATCCCCAAGCCCTTACTCCACCTCTCTTTCCCCTCCTGTTGCACATTAAAGCCTTCCCCTTGCTCAAACTCAGGGAGCACTAAGGGGCTTTTCCCCGTGTGTTTTGTTCTTTGCATCCCTCGCTGTTTGTGGAGCGGGGGGAGCTCCTTTCTTATTTCTTTCTTTGCGTCCAACCCCCTGCAATGCAGGAATCTGCAGCTGTCCCAGAGAGGGATTGAACCTGAAACCTTGGCGTGATCAACACCACACTCTAACCAACTGAGCTATCGAGGTGCTTGATGGAATGTTTGATGGAATGCTGACAGTTAAGTTTGGAAAAAAGGTTTCTCTCTGTATGTTTCCCAGTACGTTTCTGAGCTCAATTCAAAGTGTTGGTGCTGAACTTTAAATCCCTAAACAGCCTCGGTCCAGTATACCTGAAGGAGAGTCTCCACCCCCATCATTCTGCCTGGACAGTGAGGTCCAGTGTCGAGGGCCTTATGGCAGTTCCCTCACTGTGAGGAGCCAAGTTACAGGGAACCAGGCAGGGGGCCTTCTTGGTAGTGGCACCAGCCCTGTGGAACGCCCTCCCACCAGATGTCAAAGAGAAAAACAACTACCAGACTTTTAGAAGACATCTGAAGGCAGCCCTGTTTAGGGAAGCTTTTAATGTTTAATAGACTATTGTATTTTAATATTCTGTTTAAAGCCGCCCAGAGTGGCTGGGGAAACCCAGCCAGATGGGCGGGTATAAATAATAAATATTATTATTATTATTATTATTATTATTATTATTATTATTAGGCACTGCTGGAAAAAGAAGAGTAATCCTTTCCTTCCTGAGCTTTGACCTCCCCCCAAAAGCACCTCTCCTCTATTATAATAAGAATTGAAAGAAGTCTTCTATTGTAGCCACAAGAAATAGGCTTGGAAGCCGTGTTGCAGCACAGTGGAGTGTTTTGGCAGAGGAATCATGGCTGGACCACCTCCCCTTTCCCTGAAGTCACAACTTTCTGCAGCAGTTATGCTTGAAAACTCCTTCTACTGACTACAACAGAGGACTTCTTTGAAGCCTAACGTCAGTGGAGGGGTCGGACGGGACCCTGCATGTTCCAGCAAAGGCTGTGCTCCTGTGGGTGTCTCATTGGGGACCCATAATATGGCTACAGGTGAAGAAGTATTGTAAAGATGAGATCTTTCATACTGGTGAAATTTCCCTGAGAGTCCATTTGGCTCAACAGCACACGGAAAGGAGAAATGTACTGTATTCTGAATACAGATCGTGTCTTTCCCTTGCTCTGCCTTGTGTTTCCTTGTCACAAATGCTGAATAGGAATATGTGCTGTCCATCATAAATACAGAAGTATGACTAAGCCTTTGTTTCTTTTCTTGGAGAGTCTCACAAGCATACTCGCAGCACTGAAAACCACAATATTGCATTGTACCTTTGTAATCCATACCAGAACTTGGCTATTTCTGGATTTCAGAAGAATATTTAAGCCATGAGTGATAGGCTAGGGTTTTTTTGGGGGAGGGGGGTTGTTCTGTTTTGACCTTCAGTGAAATCTGAAGTTGTCTTGCAGGGATGGTGAGACTGACAACAGTTTGGGGAGAGGCAAGGTGTATTTGCTATGCCTGTGCAACTGATCCAGCAAAAGCTTGGATTTTGAACCAAGCTGGCCAAATCAGGACTGATCTGAAGCACTGGATTGGATCTCAGATTAGATTGAGGGATGGTGCACAGCCCTAGTATTTGAGAGGAATGTGAAATAAAGGGAACTTTTGACAATCCGGAGGTCAGTTGAATAGGCTAGCATGCTCTCTTCCAAGATATGGGATCATGCCCTCTGGTGCCACGCAGAGGCAACTTCCCTACTCGGCAGGTCATTAAATGCATGTTGAAATTACAGTTTAATCAGTACGTCTCCTCCATGGTTTTGCCAATGTTTTCATAAATCAGAGCATCTTTAGCTATGTAAATAACCTGGGAAGGGTATGCTTGCAGTTAATGCCCCGGACATAAATTACAGCGAGGTGCTACTCATGGAAATTATTTTCTGGGTGACTAATCTGTTTCCAGAACATTGTGATTTAAACAATCCTCGGACAAGAAAGAGATTAAACGAGTTTGCTAAATAATATATTGCTCCAAATTATTCCTCCAGATGTACCGGAATCCTCGTAGCTTTAATGGACAGTTCTGTATTAGTAAACAGATCTCTATTGTGAGGTTTCCTTCCACACTGCTGGTGCCCTGTTGCTACTTTGATTGTGTGTTAATGCTGCCAAAGGTCACTCTTTTGTTTTTAAATCACTGGATTTGACAGTTCCATTGTCTAATATTATTCTTCTCAGTAGGCACCTTGTTTTAATGGACAGCAGGAGACAGTTTGGGAGTTCCTCTCCTTGGAAGCCTTCAAACAAAGCCTCTTTCCAGGACTGGCTGGCTAGGATGATTTTTAAAAATCTACTCAATCATGTGCTCCTCAGGTTTTGGATTAGTTCTGTGCATCAATAGTCACGGATTTAGACCTTCGGTGGATAAATCTATATTTGTAACCAACTGCAAAGGTTTCGGTTTCTTTTTTTTAAAAAAAAACCCTACCCAAATCTTTTATCTCCATTTTTCATTTTCTCTTCTCAAAGGTCAAATGCTAGTCATATAAACCTACAGTGCTTGTCAAGCAAACATTGCATGGAGAACGCAATCTAGTGGTCAGTGGGACTGCAGTTTCATCACGCTATTTGAATTCCAGCTCAGAAACAGGGGGGAAGAAGAGGTGATCTTGTGGACATGGAGCGAAAACGTCGCCTCATTATGTTATGGGAAAGGGGAGTTGAAAAAAACGACAATAGCAGCTTGCAAGAACCAGTCCAGGAGACTCGGGTTTAAATCCGAGTTAGGTACAATGGATTGTGCATTGTACCTAAGACAATGCACTTAGACTGTGCATGCACTATAACCAAAAAGCATGTTCAAAGCACATTTTTCATCTCAAAGAATTCTGGGCAGTCTAGTTAAGGGCTGGCAGTAATTGTAACTCGGGGTGTGTGTGTGAAATCACAGAATTATTTGAGGGATGGGGATGTTTTATAGTCTGTACACAGCTACTGTTCCCATAATTCTCTGGGGGAGATGCACTATAAATGTACTTTAAATCAATAATAATAATAATAATAACAGTAATAATAATAATAATACTGCCCTATATGTAGCCTGTGGTGGTTAGACCTCATCTTCCTCGAGGCAACTTAGTTCCTGCCATGGTTTAAATGAAGAGGAAGGCAAGATAAACAAATGGAACTTCTTCTTTTAAGCAAAACAAAACAAACCCCAAACTTGTACTTGCCAAGTTGGCACTCTGGGAATTCCTGCTGCGAAAGGAGGAAAGATACCGAGACAAAGATATTTAGCATGCTAATTTATTTAGCAACACTTTTTCTCTTTCCACATAATGGTGGAAGATGCTTCAAAGAGCTCCCTCTCTCTGAGGGAATCTATGTAAACAAAACAGTAAAAAGGGGGGAAAGAGGGGGGAAGGCTTGCATCTTTAATATAAGCTACTGACTTACTTCATTAGAGCAAAGATGACACTGTTAATTATCCCTAAAGGGACAATTTCAGTCCTATTTTAGATGTTAAATGCAGTTATATAAGGTATACGGAAGACCTCTTTTGCCTGTGCCATATAAATGCAACATATTACATAAGGCAACTCTCCCTCCCAATTGCCACAGATATCAAAAGACAAAAAGGGAGAAACCGGATTCGAAATGAAACAGACAAAGGGTGATCGAACACAGACTCAATTATCCTTCTACCATTTCAAAAGGACCACTTTTTACAGAGAGAGAGAGATATGGAGTGAGGCTGCTCAAGATGCATTGCAGATGGCCTTGAAAACATGTGTTTGGAACCCTGCAGTGGGAACACCAGAGCTGAGGGCCATTTGGAATGAAAAAGGGTGGGAAGAAGAATTAAGCATCTCCTTCCACTACTGAGCTTTTGATACAGGCGGGCGGCTCTGTGTCTAAACCACTGAGCCTCTTGGGTTTGCCAATTGGAAGGTTGGCGGTTCGAATCCCCGTGACGGAGTGAGCCCTCATTGCTCTGTCCCAGCTCCTGCCAACCTAGCAGTTCGAAAGCATGCCAGTGCAAGTAGATAAATAGGTACCACTACAGCGGGAAAGTAAACAGCATTTCTGTGCACTCTGGCTTCAGTCATAGTGTTCCGTTGTGCCAGAAGCAGTTTAGTCATGCTGGCCACATGACCCAGAAAGCTGTCTGTGGACAAATGCCGGCTCCCTCGGCTTGAAAGAGAGATGAGCACCGCACCCCATAGTCACCTTTGACTGGACTTAACTATCCAGGGGTCCTCCCCCCCCCCCAGGCATGTGCTTCCATAACATTTATTTGTGTTGCTGGTACCTTTTCATGAGTACACAGTGGCAGCAGAACATGGGATCCAGCACTCTGGTTCCAGCTATAGAACAATGGGCCATCTCCTTGATTCTCTGCTGTGAGCCTTCACTGCCCTGTGCTAAACTCGACATCAGTATGGCTGCTTTTGTGCTTACAACTTATGAGGCGTGGCTCTGTTGCATAAGTGCTTTCTGGGTTATGGAGAAAGTAGTATGGCTGCTCACTGTCCCCTGTGACAAGCTCAGTCAGTAGAACATGAGACTCTTAATCTCAGGGTCTTGGGTTTGAGCACATTTGGCAAAAATGTTCCTACATTGCAGGGGGTTGGACTAGATGATGTTTGTGGTCCCTTCCAACTTCATTTTCCAACATTACACCGTTGAGTTGGATTTGTGCTGCTGCAGAGGGGTTATTTTGTAGTTGTTGGTGCAGCACTTTGGTTTTTTGGATGCTGAGCGATAGGCCAAGCTTTTTGTCAACTTCTGCGAAGATATTTAGGATGGTTTGGATGTCATCCTCTGAGTGTCAACGCACTACATGGTCATCAGCATACTGAAGCTCTATGATGGAAGTTACAGTAACCTTACTCTTTGCTTTCAGCCTGCTCAGATTGAAGAGCTTTCCATCTGTTTGATATATGATTTCTAACAACAAGTACAAAATAACCCCTCTGCAGTGCCACAAATCCAACTCAATGGTGTAACATTGGAAAATGTCGATCACTTCACCTACCTGGGCAGTTGTCCTTCCACAAGGGCCGACATTGATGCCAAAATCCAGCACCACCTGAGCTCTGCAAATGCTGCTTTCTCCCCACTGAAGTGTAGAGTGTTTGAGGACCAGGACATTCTCAGGGAAACCAAAATGATTG